CTGTACTTTTAAAATTCCTTTTTCTGAGTGTAGTTTTCACGATGGCTACAGCTTCATAATTGGCAATTGTCATTTTTGTTCTGTCCTTCTCTACAATATCGTCCATAAAATTGAATGTGGACCACTGAAAATAGTGAGTAGTGTTGTGACAAGCTCCTTCAGTTTGGGGTAGTGCATATCAGAAAGTCTTTCAAAGAAAACACCTTGACCCAGTACCCACTGTCTACACGGTCTTCTTCTTTGTATGACGACTCAGTCTCTTTTACCTGCTGGTCAACGTTGTACCTGGTGGCCTCCACAGATAAAGTTCCAATATATTCGTCACTAAACAGTCGTGGCGGCATTTTCTTGACAAGATTTCCAAATGCCTCTTCCACTAGACTATGACCAAGAAGTTCATGGTCGAGCACAGTCATCTGTCTCTAGTGTGGTTATTGAGAGGCGTTTGAAGCATTTTCTTTGCAGCCATAACATAGCCATTTCTTAGATTTCTGTAAAAGTTTGTGACCCAATGTTGGCAGGATTTATCAAGCCTGGCTTTGTGTATATCCACATGTGCAAACTTTCCAAACCCCAGGTGTCTGTCAGCCTTTTTAATTTCTCTGTCTGTTACATCCAACTTCACCAACTAATTTACTCGTTCTGGAATATGTTCTGGTTTGATAAACAGTCCTAACAACTGTCGAGTTACATCCAACATTCTTGTATGCAGGGTATGGATAAGAGGTTTCTCAGATTGGAAGGCTTTAAACCCCCAACATCCGATCAGACTATCGGATGCAAATTAACTCTCTCTCTACATGTTTTATCAGTGATAGACGTCCAGCTATTCTGGCTTAGTGAAGTATATCTAAAAAAAAAATTTGAAGCAGAGGATGGGTTTTTACACAAAAATAAATCTTATTATAATAATCACATGACTGCATGTAGATTTTTATTGTATTTCTCTCAGAGTCAACACAATTTAGCTAAATATCTGATCACCAGTTGTATGTCTTCCGTTTTAGGACTTTAGTTTTAACTTTTCTCCTTGATGTCAAAGGGTCAGTTATATCCTTCTCTGATGTCACTTTTCTGTTTACATGTTCATTCCAGTCAAGTGTTGCAATGTTTGTTCGAAACCTGTACACTTTTTCAGAAAAGTTTATTCTTTATCATAATATTGCAACAATGAATTATTTAAACTTTCTACATAATATGTATCCATACAATGTACATAATCTTTAGCAGTTTTATGGATTTGAATGTTTGTAAGAACAGTTGTCAAAAGTTTTTCAGCTTTTGGGTCAGTAATTATAATTTTGCTGCTTTCATAATTTCTATCTGTTTTGCATCTAAATGTTTCATGACAATTCTTGCGTTTGCCTTTAATGTTCAGCAATGTTTAGTATGCTAGTTTTAAGGTTTTCTTCTTTACCATCACAGTTTTTCATGGCCCAGTAGACATGCGTTATGACGCTGGCAGCTTTTTCTGATAATTCTTGGTGCCAAGTTGAACCTTCTTTATATGTTGGACCTGAAGAAACAGTTTTGACTTGTTTTGTGAGGTGTTTTGTTCCATGCAAGATATCATTCGTTGATGTTCCACTGCGTTCTGTTTTGATAAATTTGTTAACGCTTGCATTTTTCTCATGGCAATATATGATTTTGTCTTTGTATATATACCGATCAAAATAATCATATAATTTTTGGGTTCCAATAAGTTCATGTTTTTAAGATGACTGAATCTTTTTTTTGTTACATGTACAGTTTTAAGGACTCGGTGTGTATTTGTTCCTATACACACAAAATCTGTGTGGTATGAATTATTTCTTGTGTCGTGTCGTGCATCAGTCAAAATGTCAATAAATTCCTCTCCTGCATTTGATTGTATTTCTGACTTTATTGCCAGATCACATGCTTCTTCTGTCATTTCACCTACAACATTGCTGTATTTAGAAAACACTTCATTAATGTAGCTTTCTCCAAGACAGCCTATACCAGCACCAGATGATAATCTATTTAACTGGTTAGGAAGTATTCCTGACACAAAATATACATGCAGCATTCTTAAATTAGCAAAATATTTCTGTCTCAAGTATTGAGTGCTACTCCATGTCAAACTATGTTTGCTTTTGCATGTAAATTTAAGGACACCCACATGTCCAAAGTAATTGGTAGAGGATAATATGAGCTGTTCCTCACACGATTGTGAGTGACTTACAACACACTTAATTAAATTATCTTTGTTGCTTGGAACTGCTTTCACCATTGTCATCTTCATTAATGCTTTGAAACGAAGTATCGTGATAACGGGCACCTTTTTGTTTCTCTTGGCTCTCAGATGTTGATTGATTGGTCTCAATATATCGAGCCTTGTACGAAAAAACTTCTAATAACTGTTTTGATGTAACATTGTTAGGATTTCCTTGACCTAAATGCGATTTTATATCTCTAACAATGTCCATAATATCCTGCTTCTCCTGTTCATTTTCACACATAAATCTAATTTTGTCTTCAATAAATTTTTTTCTTCTTTCCTGATCTCGTTTTTTAACATAACTTATTATTGTATTGGATTATCCTTGTAATATTTCCTCTTTTGACCTTTATCATCCATTTTTCCATATACAATGTGTTTAGTTATTTAGTATGCTTATTGATATATTATTTAGACTATTCAGAAAGAGTAATAATTATCATGCTGCTATGAGCAGAGATTAAACAACATTTCATATTTCTGTGTTTAATTAGCATACAACACTACTATACAGGAGGGGTGACAGGTATTGTAAGGTCTTATTTTTAATACTGTGTATACCATTTCTCATTTCTGCTTTACCTGTAAATTCGATAAATATTCCCGCGTCCATCTTTTCTAAAAATAAATTTGCTAAATACTGCATTGTATACGCACCGGTCTCATATATCGACCTGTGTCTTACGACGCATTACTCACCCCAAATGAGGGTAAAAATGACTCCGACATAAAGAAGTCCGCGTAGGGATGACGATTTTATTTAATTAAACATAATATATAACAATAAGTGATTATATTTGTTTATTGCTTCTAAGGGATCACTGTTTTCCAGATTTTAATATTGCAAGTGCAATTGATAGCTCGACTGCGTTACTATTTATTCAAATATTCAAAACAACTTTCACTTTCGGTTTTAAACTAACAATGGACGAAATACTGTCACGCGTGTTAAATGATATTGGGTTTGTAAAACCACTAAAAGATTGCCAGAAAGAGTGTTTGACGCATGTTTTGTGTAAACATGATGTACTGGCTATTTTGCCTACAGGGTATGGGAAAAGTTTAATTATGCCCCCATTTCGAAGAAAAGGGGGTATATTGCTTTGCACTTGTCGGTCCGTCGGTCCGTAGACCAAATGGTTTCCGAGTGATAACTAAAGAACCCTTAGGCCTAGGAACTTCAAACTTGGTATGGTGATTGGTCATGACCAGTAGATGACCCCTATTGATTTTGGGGTCAAGGGGTCAAAGGTCAAGGTCACATTGACCTTGTAGGTAAAAACGGTTTCTGATCAATTACTAAAAAACGCTTAGGCCTAGGAATTTCCAACTTGGTATGATGTTTGATCATGACCAGCAGATGACCCCTATTGATTTTGGGGTCAAAGGTCAAGGTCACATTGACCTTGTAGGTAAAAACGGTTTCCGAGTGATAACTAAAGAATCCTTAGGCATAGAAACTTCAAACTTGGTATAGTGATTGGTCATGACCAGTAGATGACACCTATTGATTTTGGGGTCAAGGGGTCAAAGGTCAAGGTCACATTGACCTTGTAAATAAAAATGGTTTCCGATCAATAACTAAAGAAACTTAAGGCCTAGGAACTTCAAACTTGGTATGGTGATTGGTCATGATCAGTAGATGACCCCTATTGATTTTGGGGTCAAGGGGTCAAAGGTCAAGGTCACATTGACCTTGTAAGCAAAAACGGTTTCTGATCAATAACTAAAGAACCCTTAGGCCTAGGAACTTCAAACTTGGTATGGTGATTGGTCATGACCAGCAGATGACCCCTATTGATTTTGGGGTTAAGGGGTCAAAGGGCAAGGTCACATTGACCTTGTAGGTAAAAATGCCTATACGATCAATAACTTAAGAACCCTTAGGCGTAGGAACTTCAAACTTGGCATGGTGATTGGTCATGACCAGCAGATGACCCCTATTGAGTTTTGGGTCAAGGGGTCAAAGATCAAGGTCACATTGACCTTGTAAGTAAAAACTGTTTCTGATCAATAACTTAAGAACGCTTAGGCCTAGGAACTTCAAACTTGGTATGGTGATTTGTCATGACCAGCAAATTACCCCTATTGATTTTAGGATCAAGGGGTCAAAGGTCAAGGTCAAATTGACCTTGTAAGTAAAAACGGTTTCTGATCAATAACTTAAGAATGCTTAGGCTTAGGAACTTCAAACTTGGCATTGTGATTGGTCATGACCAGCAGATGACCCCTATTGATTTTGGGGTCAAAGGTCAAGGTCACATTGACCTTGTATGTTAAAACGGTTCCCGATCAATAATAAAAGAACCCTTAGGCCTAGGAACTTCAAACTTGGCATGGTGATTGGTCATGACCAGCAGATGACCCCTATTGATTTTGGGGTCAAGGGGTCAAAGGTCAAGGTCACATTATCGTTGTAGGTAAAAACGGTGAATTTACTAAAAACGCTTAGGCCTAGGAACTTCAAACTTTGTATGATGATTGGTCGTGACCAGCAGATGACCCCTATTGAGTTTTGGGTCGAGGGGTCAAAGGTCAAGGTCATGACCAGTAGATACTTGATTACCCTTATTAATTGTTTGATCACTGGGTCAGAAGTCATGCATAATAACCTTATCACATGACTAATTGGCTGCTGATAGGGGGCATACATGTTTTACAAACATATCTTGTTTTTCAAGTGGCACCATTTGCGTTAAAAGTCAAGTATAATCTGGTTTCTTCAGTATGCATAATTTTGACACCCTTGAACAGCATCATGATGGACCAGATTAATTCATTGAAAAAACAAGGAATAGATGCATGCTGGTTAGATTTTGATTGTCAAAGTGGCCAGGCCCTAGCCGACGATATTTCTGATGATGAGGAGGACACAGTTCCACAGGGTCAAGGTGTTGTTATTAATGTGCCTTTAGAGGACATCATTACAGGAAAATTCACTTTGGTATATGCTCACCCAGAGGCGCTTCTCAGCACCGGTAAAGGGACATACTTATTAAGTGCAATGAAACGAAAGGGCATTATTGCATGCATAGCTATTGATGAAGCACACATGATACTTGAATGGTAATTTCTTTAAATGTTCATTTATATCAGTGTATGCTTAGCAGTTCCCAGTTATAGACAATTACTAAATTATATAACTTTTTGGTTATATCCTAGATTAGACCCCTTATCCCGAGCCTTCTAAACCAGGAGTTATTAATGCATATGTAAAAGTAAAAGGTAAAGGTCTTGTTTATTATAGTGTCACCTTACTGAAAGGGCCAGCCATTTTGACACCTTTTGCTTGCATACCATGTACCTCCCAATTCCTACCACTATGCCAGGCGCCAGGCGGATAGAAATCGGTAACCATTCATTTAACTACCTCGCGGCTCACGAAGCGGCCATTTCGGAACGAGTCCCACGAGAAACATTCATCCTTCAATTAACGCTCCCCGTGGGGCTCGAACCTTCGACCTCCCGATCCGAAGGCGGACGCCTTAACCACTAGGCCAACGGTACCATATGTATGTATGTCTATTCCATGACTAGAAGCACTAGCATAGTGTTTTGACTATATTTTTTCTGTGAGCCAAGTTGTTGTGTCTATGCATTACATTTGTAACAAAAAGTATTTCAGGGGTAGTGTACTAGGATGGGACTTGAATTCACGACTGTCAATAAGTATGTGTTAGCACATAATTCCAAGCTTTTGTGGTGTCATAAACTACACATCTTTCCCGACTATTTGTATATGCCTGGTCTAGGCATAATTGCCTTATATTTTCACATATCGGATTGGTGGCCCTCGTCTCAATCCCGGAGTTATGAGTGCAACCCTTGATTCTCCAACATACATGTATCGGTTTGTTCATATGATATTACTTAATACAGATCTTTATTTGTATTTGAACAAGAAAGAATAATTAGTGTTTCATATTGTAAGAACGTAACTTGATTGTGTCCTCTTTGTGGGCATGTATGTGTCTTGCACTATGGGTCACTAACCAATACTAACAGTCTACTGACCAGCTTGACAAATTGAAATGCCTCATTGTGAATATAAAGAAACCAATCCGCAGAAACATGACTGAAATTGTTTGTTGGTTTAATTACCTCATACCTTTACTTACAGTATGACAATGCTCCACAATGTTTCACTTATTAAAAAAATGACCAGCATTAGGACTAATTAAAGCTGCATGCCTCCAGTTGAGCTAAAATATTTCAAGAAATTCAATCTCTAGAAAAATGTATTAAGATCATAAGAAAAGTAAAAAGATTCAATATTTAATTAATTATTTAGATTTTATGTGCGATTAAATACTGATTTCACAGTATCAATCACTAAAATTTTATTCCGAAACTAACGTAGTAGGAGATATATATGTATATTTTGACCTCTTTAATTGGTAATTTATCTGGATTGTAAGTGTGGTTTGTAATGTGTAAATCATTTTCTTTGTTCACTTAACAGTATTTTACTTTAAACACTGTTCTGGAATTGTTAATTTAATTGTAATAAAATCTATAACACAGTAGCATTTCTTGCACATTTAATTTTTGTACTTCTACATTGTATGTTGTACCAAAGCAGCAGAAATAATATACAAATATTATTTAAATATATCAATGATAATATCTAATAAAAATATTCTTAACTTAGTAAAATATATCTGGTGATAAATAATAGTAACAGCTGTATACTTTAAAAGATGGTAACATGACACAAGTCAGCTTTTGCATATTATAATGTACTGCGTTGTTAAATTGATTAAAATAGCTCAAGATTTTATTGACTCAGGGGAACAAGTTTTGACTGTTTCACAAATGCACATTTATACTCTCCCAGAAATGGTAGTTTGTGTATATCTAAAAATGTACTGTTACCAAAACATAAAATTGCACCAAAGTTTTATGTTACTATCAATCTAGAAAACTTATAAAGAAATTACAGCTTAAATTCCCAAGTTTTGACCCTTTTATCCAACTATATTTTAAAGCAAATGTAAATTTTACCTATATACTTGCAACATAATTTGCACATGTATTAAATTACATATTAGGTCAGCTAACTTCATGGCAATTGCTTACACAACATTGTTGTATATTCTATAAAAAAGTATAATTGTAAATAGTTACAGTGATGATTATGTAGATCCATGTTAATATTACAGGAACAAAATAGTATTTGAGGCCACACTTAAAAAACATATCCAGTTATACTGTGTGCCTAACTTAAAACTTTTGAGCATTTTACATCCAGAAGTGGAGCTGACGACAGTTTGATTAAATTATTTGAGTAACTTTATAATATAAACCTTTGCAAAATTTCCGTTTTTTTTTTAGCTTGAACTGCATAATATTACAAATTAACATTCATAAAATGTTTTAGTTATTGATACAAATTGACAAAACTTTTAGACTTTTGCCTAATTTTTCCAAGACAATTTTTGCCTATTGCCTGTTTATTGTTTTTGAACTTGATTTATATCAAGTTTGTTAACAGCTCTTCTACTATGCCTAATGACAAATTCCTTTAGTTTAAGCTTGTCAACGTCCCCAATAATATTGGCTGAAAGTTTCTTAAATGAATCCATTTGTCTACTTTTGTTACCCTTAAAGGGTCTTAAAGCTCTTAGCTTTGTGCCAAGAACAAGCAAATCCTCTTTCAAAGTTTTTGGTTTCTTATTATTTTTTTTCTGCCCTCTGTTTTGAAGTCCACTAACTAGCTCACTAACAACAGGTGCAGCCTTCGACACTCGCATCATCGCTTTATCTGTTTTTCCAGCACCCAATCCCCTTATCACATGCTTAACCAGTTTTATGTTGTTTTCTTGTTGCATATCTGCAGGTTTATTTTTCCCTGGTCTACCTTTACGATTCACAAGTAATCCTAGTTTTACCCTCACACTATCATATTCAGACAGATAACATTCTGTTTTAGTCAGAAAATCAACACATTCAATGGCATACTTTGATTTATATGATGACAAACCAATGAAAAGTGGAATAAATCTTTTCATTAGCACACTTATCATGTCTATGTCACCAGCCTTGATAACTTCACAGAATAAAATGAAGTCTACAGCAACCCGACATAAGCTAATGCTATATTTCTGAACATCATCTTCAATTTCTTCAACATTTTCTACTTGTGTAGGGACTTTGATCTCAATGTTATCACCTGAAATTATTTTGAAAAAGTACAGTCATGGACATTATAAATTAAACTAAAAGGACCAAAGTTTTTTTTTTTAAATTAATTCTAAAGCTTAATCAAGGTAAAATCTTTCTATGAGGTAAACGAGACATACTACAATTGTAATATCTTTAAAGTTAATATTAAGTATTTTTAAGATATTGTTTTGGCTTTTTAGGATAATGCTACTACTGAATAATAATGTGATTTTAAGATTATCTATTGCCTGCCTATGCTTCATATAACTTTTTAAGTATTTTATGTTTTATGATGATAACTTACTGGAGCTGGATGGTTTTTCCTGCATATTCCACATGAATGGTAACATGGTATGATGAGCACTTGTGCCTAATGAGGAATTGTCTGTCATGTGGAGCTGAGAATGTACACATGATTTTATCAATGATAGGGCTGACTTTCTTTTCAAACCAACTTTTTTTGCTAGCAGATGTCATGTCTTGAAGGTCAGCTGGCAGCATAACACTTATGTAATCTGGTTGTTGTAGCTGAAGTATTTCACAAGTCATCTCCACTATCAATGCTCTGAAACAGTAGTATACCTATTAATGTGCAATCTTATCTTAGGTTCTGTACAAATTGGGTTACTTCCTGTACTGCCCTAATGCAAAGAATTTATACAACAAGGGTGCCATAGTCACAAAATACGATCCATGGTATGCATTAGCCCAAGTAACTAAAATATAACAAAATAAATAAATTGTCAGATTCAAATAAATATCTTTAAAATGCAAGACAAAGAACAAAATATTAACAGATATTTATAAAAAATAAATTACCAAAAATATGACCAAAAAAAAACAGGTATTTGTATCATGTATGGCATTATGATTTATAATTATAATTTATATCAAAGATATTAAAAAATTAGTTATATGTTTATATACATACCCCATTCCCTGCATTATATCTGATACACGAGGCAGCAACACATTTTTGGAATGCTATCAGCTGGCAGTTTCTGGAGTACATGGCCATAGCATACATGGCTTGGATGATATAGCTTTCTTCTGGCATTTTAAGGTGAACTGGGCATGCCATGAACATTAGAAAGTCCAAAGCTCTAGGGCAACGCTCATGCATCTCTAACAGTATGTCTCGAAAGAATGTCTCTGGTTTAATGTCTGTTACTTTTGACCTAAGGACACTTGGCTGCCTTAAGCCAGAAAGCTGGTCCATTTCGACTGATATTTTGAGCAAAATAACTTGCCAAAGTTTTTCAAAAACCAAAGGGATGTTAACAATTGCTTCTAACATTTCTTCTGCGGAAATAATACCCCGTGACATGTTATCAACAGTTTGCTTCAACAATTCCTCTGACTCCTTTGATATCAGCAATGGACACAACACATTCTTCTTATGTGAATGATAAAAATTGAAGTTGTCTGGTGATTTGTTGCTTAAACTCTTGGCTGCATATGTGTGTTCAGCTTGACTGTTGTTATATACTGGTGTACTGTATAAATGATCACTTGTCACATTTTTTTCTGCAGGAGCTTTAAAACTAACAGTTTCTAAAGGGTATTCTTTTCCTGTGTTGATCTTAAACAGTTGCTTCACACTTTTTCGAGGTTTGACTGGAGTTAGTCTGTTTTTTACAAACTTCTTTACTAATGGAGATACAGAATGTACTTTCATACGCTTTTTCCTCTCCATGTTATCCGCCAAGTTTTTCTTTAGGACAGTTTTCATTGTGAACACTTTCTCCAAATGTTTAATACATACTTCACATATTACAAATTTGTCATTGCTTAACTCCTGTAAATCACACTCTAATACTTCAAAATATTTTTTAAACATGATGTTTCGCATTGCAACATTTCTAAGGTTTCTTAAATGTCCTTGAGCTTGGCTGTTGCATGTCAAACAATGTCTTACAACCTTTACTGGAGTACATTTAGCTGATGATGAAGCCATCGTGTTTTTATTTTTGTTGCTCTAAAAGTCACAAATCATGATAATTAGGGTATTAATGCACGAATAACAATAAATGAGCAATTAAATAATTTAAACATTATATTTGTAGTAAATACCACAAGGGCGTTTAAATTGAATAGTTTTTCGTTGTACAATTACATTTTACAATTGTTTTGTTTAATCACTTCCGCGTTCAAGCCGCCATCTTAAAAGTAGTGCGTTCCCATCATGCTTAGAGTGCATTCACACAGGTCAGTAAGACCGGTGTACACAATGCTAAATACTGTACCTGCATACAGTAGATATCATGCTTGTCGAACAGACCTGGTGGAAAGGACGCGTTTGTTCGCATTATCAGCAGTTTATTGGGTGATAAAGGCTCCGGATCCCTTGGATCACTACTTACCTGAGTGATTGGTCGATCATTGAGAATTTTCTCTATCTCTACCACCAAGGTCAACAGCGCTTCGTCGTTGAGAAGTTGTTCGCGAATGACAGATTTTAATGCTGTTTTGGCGGACCTTACAAGCCGTTCCCAGACGCCACCCATATGTGGTGCATATGGCGGATTGAAATGCCATTTGATTTCACGCTGCTGACAGAATTTCGTCAGTCGACTATTATTCCATAGCTGAATACTATCTCGTAATACCCTTTCACCTGACACGAAATTCGTTCCATTATCACTGAAGATTTTTTCAGGATTGCCTCTACGGCCGATAAATCGTTGAAGTGCACAGACGAATGAATCAGTATCTAAGCTATGGGCAATCTCGATGTGCACTGCTCTCGTAGTTAAACAAGTAAATAAACAACCATACCTCTTTAAATGCCGTCTTCCGGATTTCACAGTCATCGGGCCAAAATAATCGACGCCGACGTACGTGAATGGTGCTTTATCAGGCATAAGTCTCTCTTCTGGTAGTTGACCCATTTGCTGTGTTTCAGGACGATGGTGCTTTCGTTTACATTCAAGACACCGGTTCAATACAGACTTTACCGCTCTGTGTCCTTGAACAATCCAGTATTTCTGCCTTATAAGAGAGAGGACATGTAGAGTACCCATGTGTGCGTTCCTTTCGTGGAAGTCCCTTATCAAGACTCTGGTAACATGATGAGAGCTAGGAAGAATTATAGGATGTTTAGCGGCTTCGTCGATGAGCGAGTTTTGTAATCGCCCACCTACTCTTAATAAACCATCGGTATATACCGGATTTAATCTGACAAGTGAACTTGATTTAGATACATTACCTGCCTGTATGACACTTCTTATTTCGTCTCCATATATTTCCATTTGTAGTAGCTTGAAGACAGCGGATTTTGCTGCTCTAATTTCATTTATGGTAAGGTGTTTTGATGCAGCATAAGATACCTTGTTACCTCGCAAGTATCTCTCTACAAGATAAGTTTTGAACCTAAGTAACCAGCCCACTGCTCGCTGAAGTTTGTGCCAGTAGGAATACCTGGTCAGTAAGTCATCGAATTCCTTAAATTGCTTACCTTGTGAAAGATTGACATTTACTTCTGGTTTCACCTCGATATCATCATCAGAAACAGGAAGGTTCGTAACAATTTCTGGCCAACTAATTCGATCTTTCAATATAAAGTTCGGGCCATTTAACCAGATTGATAGTTTATCCGTATCATAAGGATAAAAATCCTCTAGAGGCAAGATTAGCAGGATTTAACTTGACGGTACATACCTCCAATCTTTTGGTATCGTAAAATCATGTATGTATGACAGTCTTTTCGCCACAAACGTCTTCACATTATTTATGTAGCCTAGTACGATCAAAGAGTCTGTCCAGAAAATGGTTTCATGAATTTCTATGTCCAGCTCCTGAGTCACGAGTTGATACAACTTGACTGCCAGCGCCGCTGCAGCCAACTCGAGCCTCGGTATGGACAGTGTCTTGATTGGAGCAAGTATGGATTTCCCTATAATAAAACTACATTTGCTGTTGCCAGATGCATCGTACACCTTTAAATATGCTGCTGAGCCGACCGCCTTTTCCGATGCATCGCTAAATATATAAAGCTTAGTCTTAGTAGAATGTCTATGTAACGCAATCGGTTCTAGACATCTCTCAATACTCACCTTTGACAATTCCGACAGACTGGCTAACCAGTGGGCTAAATGTGGCTTACCATA